GAAAGAAAGAGAAAGAGAAAGAGAAAGAGAAAGAGAAAGAGAAAGAAAGAAAGAAAAGCCTGAAAACAGAAGAGGGACTATTAAGGAAGGGAGGTTCATAGGGAATATGGACATGTGATTAGAGGAGGATGTGGGGCCAGGGATTTAGCTCAGCGGTGTAAGCACTAGACTGGCAAGCACTAAGTCTTGAGTTCAGTTCTTGCTACCAAAAATAAATAAATAAAATAAAAATACAAAATAAAGGAGGATGTATACATGTATGAAAATGTCACAGTGAAACCCATGTGATACAATTAATATGAGTTAATATTTATAATTTAAAAAATTTCAAAGAGTAAAATAGAAACTCTGCTTCTAGCTAAAATGGAATAATAGAGACTTACATCATAACCTAAGAAATTTTAAATTTTTTTAATGAACCAAGTGTTTTCAAGATACTAGATATCTAACAATAAAGGAAAAGTGATTCCTAAAAGACTAGGAAAAAAGCAAGCCCTATTGTTATAGGCAGCTGAGTTAGACAGAATGCTATAGGCAGTTAAACAGGGCTGGGCCCTGGAGGGAGCTGGCACAGTGGACCAGATGTGAGAGGAGACAGACACCTCCCGCTGCGGGCCAGATCTCAAAACAAAGCACAAAACAAATGCAACCATCTCCGAAATATAAACATCAGGGCTTGATTTTCTTTCTTTTTTTTTTCTTAGTACCAGGAATCAAACTCACGACCATGCACTTACAAAGCAGGCACTTATACCGCTGAGCTAAATCCCCAGCCCCCACAGTTATAGGATCACTTTGAGGAAGCCAGGAGCCTCCATCCCAAACCCCTACAGGAAGAGTCACTGCTGGAATGCCCACTTGCTACATGACTTGATGCCTTATTTGTCCCTAATTTGGCCACTTTTACCTGAACAATTAATCTTATTGGTTGACCGTAGTTCTATCCTACCTCATGTCCATCTGCCTTGTGAATTCCTATGATTTCCTCATTTTAGACCTGCCTTACTTCATGGTTTTACTCTAAACAAGTAAAAATATCTTAGAAAAGATAAGAGTCTTTGGCAACCCACTCAGGACTCCTGTTGCTCTCTCAGACAGAAGCTTTCTTTCTCTCAATAAATATATTCGGCTCTTAACCTCCTTTGCTTCTAAAGTTCATTGTTTGATTTTAGAGAACATGAACTCGTACCAGACATATAGCAGGCTAGGAATTTAGTTCCCCTATATCACTATGAAATGCCAATTTGTACTTGGAAAAAATTTTTTATGCTACAGCTGAGGGAGGAGGAAATTAGAAACAAACCAAATATTTCTCACCAGGTAAAGAAATAAATAAATAAATTGTGGTATAGCCATGCATTGAAATACTACTTGCCAATTAAAGGGAATGAACTATTGATACATGTAATGTCAAGAAATCTAAAAGGATGCTGAGGGGAAAAAAAAAGCCATACAAAAAGGATTACGTACTATATAATTCCACTCATAAAATTGTAAAAATTTCAGACTTAAATACAATAGCAGAAAGCAAAACAGTGTTTAGGGATGGAAAGAAAAACCAGGGTTTTGTTTTTATTTTAAATAAAAGGAATGAGAAGTGTGGTGGGTACAGCTGTCTTGATTGTAGTGGTGGGCACCACATATATCAGTGGAAGAGCTGATAAGTGGTGAATATGGCAGCCTTACAATAAGCAACATAGGAATCATCCTTCACTGTGGGGAGCCCCTTTGACCACAGTTAAGTGGCTGTGCTCTGTACACCCTTGTCCCCAAGAACAGCCCTAATTTTCTTTAGAAAGTACATTTACTATCTCCAGAGCTATTCCTACTCTGCTTCTTTCCTCTTTCACTATCTCCTTTTCTTCTCCATCTTATCACTAAAAGTAGGAATTTGTGTTACCTCAGGGACTTGGAGTCTTCTCTAGACTAGTTATAGTGAAGAACAGGCTGACACCACTAATTAATTACCTTAGGGGCTCTTCATAACCTCAGGGCCAGTGGGAAAATAGCAAAAGATTGGATGAAAGATAAAGATGGTCATGGAGACAGTCAGTGAGAGACATCCTTAAGGCTAAAAAAAAAAAATCTGGTCTGTAAAGCAAGTACCCATTTATTAGATACCTCCCTAGAAGAATGTGAGCTGAAACAGGATCAAAGGGCCTCAGTACAGGCTTGAAGGAAGATTAACAAAACTACAAGGACTGTAATGGACACAAATTGGGAATGGTAACATAGTTGGAAGTTCTGATGAAATAGAGAATTATACTATCATGCTCATGGAAAAGGGTAAGCAGCATTATGAGTAGAAAAGGAGAAACTGAAAAACCCAAATGTGTCAGTGTGAAAATGTGCTGTCTCTTTTTTTTTTTTTTTTTTTTTTTTTTTGTCTTTTTCGTTTTTACTGGTACCAGGGATTGAACTCACAACTGCCTGCTTGCAAGGCAGGCACTTATGCTGCTGAGCTAAATCCTCAGAGATTCTGATTGGAATCCGATGAAGTCCCCACCTGCAAGGCAACCACCCTTCTTCTCAATTTATTAAAGTGATTTTTTAAGCACAATGAACTTTTTTAAAAAGAAATCACTGCTACACATATATAATAATACTTCATCCATAATAATAATAATTCATCCACACATCAAAATAGGAAGACAATCATCATTTACATGTCTTCAATAACAATGTTTTAGCTCTAAGCTCCCTCTGCTGTCTCCAAAATAACGAACATTTTATGGCTCTTTTTACTGGTTCAAATATTTATGAAAGCCAAACAAATACAACCTTGGACAATAATAAAGGAAATCATTTCCTATGACAATCAGGAAGTTCAATATTTGGAGAAAGGAGAAAGAAGCATAAGCCAGCAGAATCACATGAAGTTGCCCATTATTTCACCATTTCTAATCTACAAATGGCAATTTCATATGGCTTGACCTAATATGTAAAAATTGTCAGTGAACCTTAGGGAGATTATACATCTGTGTGCATATACGTGTGCTGCGGGGATGGTTACTGTTTTTAGAAATGATTCCTGTATGAAATTTCCTGAATGTACTAGTTAATTACATGTTTCCTGACCAGAACTAACTACAGAAGCCGAGTCCAGTGCCTTTTAGGACTCTGTGTATTATAACTTGGATTTAAAAGAAAGAAATCTGCCTACAGGCTAGTAAACCTATAGATACAAAATGCTTCATTCCAGGAGATAAGTGAAACAGTTGTAGGAAAGCCATATGTTTACAAGAAGAAAGCTGGAAATAAAATACTGTAGTTAACATTTCAGCTGTGAGAAGAGGAAGTAGGGCAATTTGCATAGACTTCAAACAACCTCACACTATTGAGAAAATCAGCAAATTCTGGAAAGAATTAGAAGTCAAAGCCAAAGTCAATACACTTCAAAAACCCTTGGTGATTCACAGCAACTAACAAGAAAGTATCTTCTGGGTAAGTTCACACTTAGCAGCAAAATAAATATTAATTCTTGTGTTGGTACTTTTCCAAAAAGTTAATATTTTACAGTTTAGAATTTTAGTTTAAGTTTGCCTTTGAAACTTGATGAATGCCTTTTGAAGTTATGTTTTCATAGTCCTAGGAATTCAGCATAGGAATGAAAGTTGCCATCAGATTTATTTACAATAATGTTCATCCAAACTCCGCTTTTTTTACAATTACTCTTTATCACTTACATCTTCTGCCTAGCACAATGCCTCCTATTACAAAGACCCCAACAAATATTTTCAAAACAATTACAAGAGAAAAGTTGGAAATTACACAAGAGATGTAGAATGTAAATATGGCCCAATAAGATAATTTCAACATAACTAAATCTCTGGACACTCTTAACATTTAGGGAGTAAAATAATTTTAAAAGTTGCCATAATTAAACACCTACATATCAAAACGTACATACTTTTATCATTTGAAGTTCAGAGCCACCTACCAAGCACCCAGTTTTTACCTAATTCCACAGGTTAAATAGTGATTATACCTACTATGTGAAAATTCTAATCCAGATTGAATTTCGGCAAAAGGCTTTCCTTCAAAACACATTGCCTAGCTACGTCTTTTTTTTTTTTTTTTTTTTTTTTTTTTTTTTTTTGGTGCTGGGCATTGAACTCACGATCCTACTCATGTCAGATAGGTGCTTGTGCCACTGAGCTAAATCCTCAGCCTTTGCCTAGCTACAAATAAGACTACCTCTTTCATCCCAAATTCAGATTCTTTCCTAGAAGGCAGTTTTGGGGACAATTAGAATTTTCTAACACAAAACCTCTCCCGCCCTCTTTTGTAACCAAAGCAATTTTTTAAGCAGTGATGTTTTCCAGGGCTAAGGAAATTGGGATTTAGCCATAGCTAGTAGGAGATTTAAGCCTCCAGTTGTAACTATTTTGGGTAACATGCTCCCAGAGGCTCCCAGGAAACCCGTAATCTTCTTGAAATGACAAGTTGGGGGACGTTTTCGTTCACATGCAGGGTCATCCATCCCTCCCGTCTTAGTCACCTTCCGGGTTGCTGGGACAAAATAACCTACACCAGCAGTTTGAGGAAAGGTGTTTTGTTGTTGTTGTGGTCTTGTTTTGTTTTTTGTCTCACAGCTTGTAGAGTTTTAAGTCCATAGCTTTGGCAGACTCCGAGGCGGGGCAGCACGGCACAGGGGACTGGAGGACAGGGGGCTGCTCACCTCATTGTGACCAGAAAGCAGGGAAGGGAGATGGGTCACCCTGGCCAAGCCCACAGTGCTCCGCCTGTCCCCGGCAGACGGAAGCCACCTTCTAACCGCAAGTCAGCCCCGCGCTCCTGGATCCAATCACCTCTCTACAGACCCACTTCTGAGCGCCCGAGGCTTTGGGGTACATCTAGAGAGAAACTAACACCTCCCAACACAAAACATCTTTGGCTTCCTAAGCTTATAACACCCTGCGCCTTCCCCTCTACGCCTTAGAATCAGAATCAGGAACAGACACCAACACTCCAATCTCCCTGCCCCACTTCGGCCTCGTCCTCCTGTCTGTCGGAGGCTGTGAGCTCCTGTTTGCAGCCGGAAGGAGGGATCTCGGTCCCCACCGCCGCTCGCCCAGACCTCTCGTTGGCTCACAGGGTTTAGTCGGCCCCGCCCAACCCTGGCCACGCCCACCTCTCTTGCCCTGCCCCGTCGTGTCTTCAATGGCCCAACAGCGCACGGCCTGTCTCCATGACGACGTGGCGTCCCTAGATCCCAGCTGCAGACCCCGCAATCGCCCAGCCCTGCTGGGCTTCTGTGTCCGCCCTTCGCGTGACTGGCTTGACCTGGTCACAGCCCCTAAGCAGCGCTGCGGGGTCCGCGGGTCTCCCCTCTCCGTCCTCGCGTGCGTGATCTTTGACGCCCTCGGGCCCAGCTCCTCAACCTTGCCCTCCTGCAGATACAGGCTCGGAGTCCCGAGGCTGCCTAGACGCCGCGCGAGAAGGTAGGATCCCCGCGTCTGGAGTGATCCCTCCCTCTCCGTGCAATCTGGCACTGAGGGAGGCAGGTCTGTGTTTACGTGGGTGTGCATGGTGACCCAGAGTATTTGATAGGCCTGTCTACACCGCAGGGCTCTGACCTGTGGATTTGGACGCGCCAACTGTCTCCCAACATATGCACAGTTAAAATACCCCGTTTTTTCCCCCAAGGCTTCCCGCTTCTTCCTTGGTTCTCGCAATGCCCCCAATGCTTATAGTTACTTTTGGAAACAGTTTAATGGCCTATAGGGGCGAGCCCCCACTGATTATAAAGACATCACTGCTTATAAATTGTCTGGCTGTAAAAATGTCTTTGGAATTTGGCAAACCTGGACCTCTCTTGCATCTAAAAAATGACGAGGTCAGTCAAGTCATCTCTAGGTGACTTCTAAAGTCAAAAAATTGACATCTTTGGCTATTCCAGCGTCTCTACACTGTACCACTATAGCATTTAAAATAATACACAGCATGATGATCAAGTCATCACTTGGCATAGGTGAATTGTTGAAGCAATTCTACCTCAAAAGAGCTTCTTTGAAAGTTACTTTTTAAAAATAAATCTGAAAAAGACACTGAAAATGTGTTTTGTTTCATTTTTCCAAAAACGAAATACTGCAATCCTGAAATACAACAGGTTTTGGGTATTTTGCTATTAGAAGTTTTGTTTTGTTGGTATTTTTTATCTCCACAGAGCAAACGACAGACCACTGCTTTTAATTGTTAAAGAGTCTACCAGACCAGAATTTCAACTCCTTTGTTGGGGATTCCACCACACTGGCTCCAGAATTCCAGACCTTTCTATCCAGGCCACCAATTAAGCTACAACCTCAGTGCTTTCTTCAGTTTCTTTGCCCTGTGCAGTCTCCTGTGTGCACTAGGAACTGACTTCATCGGTGAGTGTACCTGCAAGATGGTCTTGCTGGGTTGTAGGTAGTAACAATAGTGATAGGAAGAGGAGGAGGAGTTGTAGTCATTGTAATTCTAGTAGGAGATATGTGCTGTTATTATTACTATTATTTATTATAAGCTATGATTTTAACCCAAACAGTAGCTCTTGTGCTACACTCTTCCCTTTTCAATGAAATAGAACAATATTCAAATGATCTACAGGCATCTCTAACTGTGCTCCTCCCTTTTACCTCCACTCTAAACACCTGAAATAGAAGCTTCAAATTCTCTTTGGTCCCCTTTACTTCACTGCCCAGGGGCAGTCATTTTTACTTCTCTTTTCTTTCCAAATGCACGTCTCTCATTTCGTACATTATTATCTTTTCCCTGAACTCGAGTTTGAAAGTTTTGTTTCTGTAAAGGGCCAGATAACAAATCTGTTAGACATCACAGGCCATGCCATCTTTTTAGAAAGCATTGTAGCTTGGAAGCTACAAACCAATAAGCAAATCTGTCTATATTCCAATAAAATCTCATTTATAAAAGTAGACAGTGAATCACACTTAGTCTGTTGGCTATAATTCTTAGCTAATATCCCTGGCTAGTCCCCGAGTAGTCTTTTTCATCCTCCACTGAATTTCTTTTTTAAAAGATCTATTATTGTCTGTTCTGTGATCTCCATTCAAAGCTTTGGTTTAGTTTACATTATTTGAGGTTAAAGCCCCAAATATTTAGCACTGATGACTCATAATTTGTCCCATATACATTTTCAAGTTCAACTTTGTTGCCATTTTCTAAGAGCACAGAGCTGGACTTCCCTCCTCCTGTTGTTAGCTGACTATTTGATCCTGACCTGGCCATGTGCCACCTTCACTGTGCAGCTTGACTCATTCTTGTTTCCCACAGCAAGTTTGGGACATCCAGTCTTCTGATATTCCAAGATCATGAATGTGATGCTAGCAATTTATTCAACCATAGCAGATACAACTAATCATTGTGGGCCCAAAGGCTATGTTAATTCTAGATCTTATCACGTGTGGTCACCTTTTTCAGTTTTCAAAGAGTAGAGGCATATTAGTGTAGGTCTGTTTTGGTTTCAAGTGACCAAAAAATCAGCTTGTTTCAGGAGAGGAGGACAGAGACGGAGACAGAGAGAGGAGAGAGATTAATTGGTCCTTGGTATAGGCAGGGTAAAGCCGAAAATAGGGACTCACACATCAGTAGGAATTGTATGAGAACCTCATTTTCCCTGCCTCTGCCTCCCCCCACCCCCCATCTCTTCATTTCTCACTGCTGAGTCTTCTGTATATTCTGCTTTCTCATAGGCTACTTTTTCCCTAGAAGGTAAAATAATGAGTGCTGGGAAGTCTAGTCTCACATTCTCCCAACTTGGTAACAGTTTTACTTGAAAACATCTCGGGGAAAGGTTGTGATAAGTGTAGTCCTAGGCCCACACACTTGTTTATCACTGTGTTAGTTTATAAATCACCATGTTCTGGGGACTGTACTACCCTGTAGTCAGTTAGGCTGGATCTTTTAACTAATGCAGTGTTTTTGTGTTCAAGTGGGTTGGGTCTACCTACAAATCAGGAGGTGGGGTCAATAGGCGCATAATACCTTAATCTAGGTACTTGTAGAAAATATGGCTCTCGAAGGAATGTAAGAAACCCTGAAAACAAGTCTCAAAGCGGAATTCTGCACTAGAAGGTGGTTCAGAGGCAACCTGTGGACTGACTAGATTCTCTTCCTCTGTCATTCCAACTGCTGGCTAATTCTTTTTTGGGCTCAGACCATGAGCTCAAAATAATTTGTTTGATGCTAGTTATCACTATGATCTCAGTTAGGTCCCTATGGAAAAATCACCGTAGCCCTTTAGAAAGAGACATTTGTTATAATACTTTGAAGCTTGGTCAGTACTTTATATGTAGGAAGCTAAAATCTGATTCCAGGTTTCTCAAAAGCATGCAATCACCTTTTTGTAGTCTTCAGAGCTTAGTACAGACATCTGATACATAGTGGAACCTCTTCATAAGTTCTTTTGTATTTTGGATTTGTTGCTGGGATACTTGCCCCTGCTAAGTACAAACTTTAACACTGTTACACCCCCAGGCCAAATATTTGTTTAAATAGACATTGACTATTGCATGTATTGGGTGCTGACCTAGATCCCCAGTTTCCCAAAGGAGTGTACAGAGAAGAAGGCTTAAATAAAATGAGACAGGTAGTATAATTGTAGGGCTCCAGGAGGGTCAAAACGCTTTAGCTGAGCTTGAGACTCTGAGGGCTAAGACAAAGACTTCTCTGGATCACCTGTATTTATTAGATCTAAAACAAAGGGTGGGGAAACTGAGGAAAGTGCAGGCAATGAGCAGGACCTTGGGAGTCACTTCAAAGACTTCTCCAAGTAGTAAATTTTGCCAATTTAGAAGAACCATCTTATCTCCAGGTTGATATTTATGGTAGGAGTGTGACTGCAGGAGTGAAATTCCTTCACCTGCAGTCTCTATTTACTTAATTAGTATTGGAGCCAAGGTGTCTTCAGCTGTGGCCTTATCTTGCCCTTTGAGGTATCTCTGGCTTCACAGCCCACTGCAGGCCTCAGCTCAGACCAGTGATTCATAAAAGTTCACTTACTATGAATCAGCTGCCATGGCCAGGCAAGGGGCGGAAGCCGAGGACAGATTCACAGATAAACATAGAAAGCCAATTAGTTTATTTTAAATCCTGCTCCAACAGCATGAAAATTGGAAATAATTGTAATTGTTTGCCCCCCTACCCATGGAATTGTTGGAAGACTCTAGGAGAGTAAACCCATGGTCTGAAAGCCAAAGGGTGCACTTGGTAAAGAATCAAAGGGATAATTAAATGATGTGATGTAAACGTTAGCCATATCAACAGTGATGAACATAAAGTGTGCGTCTGCAGACCATTCATTCTGGGTGCCATGACTTCAATTTGAAGAGGTACCAAAAAGAGGAGAAGTAAGGTAGCCGAAGTTCAACATGCTGTTTACATGGTGAGATAGATAAATAGAGATACAAATGATAATGCAAATTTTAAATTGTCTTTGTCTTTTAAAAAGATAATGTACATATACTGTTCATAGTTCAAGAAGTATCAGTGAATACAAAGCAAAATACCTCGTCTATGCCTGTTCTCTAGCCATCTCTTTATGAGTCAATGACTTTTTTTGGTTTTGTTTTTGGTGCCAGGGATCAGACTCACGATCTCATGTTTACCAGGCAGGTGCTTGTGCCACTGAGCTAACCCCTGGTCCCAAGTCAACGACTATTATCAGTTTCTTTTCTGAAATCATTCCCTTCAGATATTTTCTGCATATTGGTAGTTATTTTCTAAAATGCACATTACCTTTACAATAGCTTTTCCTTATCTGCTCAGCTTATAGATTGTTGATTTAATTTTACCTGCTTATGCACTGGTTTTGCACCCTTTAAGGGTAGACTGTTGTAATCCATAAAGAGCTAGAAAGGAGAGGAGGGCTCTAAATATCAAGGTGATGCTTTTCCTATCTTGTGACTACCCGTAGGATTAGGAAAATGCATGGAGTGAAAATATCTAGCAAAAGATGTGGTCTTAGATTTCTTTTGTTAAAACTTATGTAGTTCCTTACTTATGTAGGGACAGTTAGGGAATGATGTAGGCTATGACCTAGGTACCTGATGGTTATGTATTTACCAAAAGTTTTTTGTATGTAATGCACTTGAGGAAGCCAGCGCTTGTAAAACCCTAATGTGCACTTGCTAAAAACTCTTAGCCCCTGACCTCTTCCTCAACCCAGAAATAATCAGTGAAATAGTTACTTTTAGAAACCAGCTTACCCTGTGAGTACAGTGGCCCTCTAATTCTTTTGCATTTGCAAAGTAAGCTTTTGGTTTTCATTGCTTTTATTTCTGACTGCCTCATTCTGCACGTCTCTATTCTGTAAGGAGCCTTTGGCTCCAAGCTAGCCTCACTGCACTCCCTTATTCTTCACTGCAGGGGAGCTGAGGGACCCTGAGATACCCAGCGGGGGACAGCAGATCTTGAAGGCTCCTGACCCTTCAAAGATCACCCTCCTGATGCAACTATTATTGTACTTTTTGCCCTACGCCATCAGGGTAAAATGTTTCATTTATCTTAGAGTTTGGTTTCCCAAACTGGTTTTCCTCCTAAAGATGTCTTGCTTTTCTGAAAGACTTTAGCCTCAAACTAATCAAACTAATAATACAAATTAACGTCTGACTTGGTCAGAGTTCCCCAGAAAGCAAAGCCTAAAGCAGAAGTCTAGATCTAGAGTCCAACTTATGTAAAACCAAAGAGGTAACAGAATTGTAGGCCTATTTATTTATTTGGTGACTTAAATGATTTATTTAACTGAAATGGACTTCCATTTATTTAACTGAAGTGACTTTCATTTATTTTGATGCATCTTTTCCCCATGATGATTTGCAAGAACTTCAAGCCAATATAAATATTTCATAAATATTTGGCCACTTGGGTATACCCCTACCCAATACCTCAGCAATATCTTTCAGCCACAAAACACTGAAGAGTAAAGGACCTGACACAATTAACGAGGTAGAACAAAAGTCTGCTTCAAATATTTGTTTCTGAGGTAAAGGTACCACACACCTGCTCAATTAAGAAAACCATGCTTAGGGGCTGGGAGTTTAGCTCAGCAGTGTGAGATTGTGAATTGATCCCTGGTACAAAAAAAAAAAAAAAAGAAAGAAAAAGAAAAGAAAACCATGCTTATAATGCAAGATGATTTTTTATTTTTAAGTAGGGCGTAGAACACTTAGCAATCAGTTAGGTACTGAACAGCAGAGCTACATCTCCAAGTTACGTTGGAGGAACAGATTCCAACAACTTGGGAAATTTGCCCTTGGTTCTCATAAAGTGTGCTTCTCTGGGCAGGTCAGGCTGGTGCTGTAGTGGAACCCAGGTGTCTTTCTCTTTGGCTTCCTTTGTCTGATGTTTTCCTTGACATGTTTCAGGAAGCTGTTGCCACTCTTTGAGTGTTTAATATGCTCAGTCCTCTTGGCAAGTATCTTGCAACAACAATGCCAGTGGCATGCTGGGTGACACTGCAGACTCCTCCTGTTTTGCCGTGGTAACATTTGTGTGGCATTCTTTTTTACCCAGTGCCTAGTCCCTTGATGGCTACAATGTCACCCTTTTTGTAGATTCTCTTGTATGTGGCCAAAGGAACAACCCCCTGTTTTCTAGAATGCCTAGAGAACATACAAAGGGTTCCTCTCCTCTTTGCCTTGTGTTCATCATTGTGGCAAAATCCTGAAAGGTGGCAGTTCCAGCCAAAAAGAAGGTGGACACTTATTTATATATCACTGATTTCATGCAAAATCATATCTGTAGCCTATTTACCTGAGCTTCAAAGTGAGATGGGAAGAAGGGAAGGGGTTAATTTCTGTAGATTTTTAAACTAATTTAATAATTGAGAAGAAGGAGGTTTTACAGTTAGGATAGAATTAATGCTAATAATTACTAAAACAAAGTACTGTACATGCTTAATAGCTGGATAAATTTCCATTTCATTTATATTTTAAATTTGTATAGGTGTTTAGAGGCTTATGAAATAAATATTTTGGGTTTTGCAAAAATTATCTAGATAAGACATGCTGTAAAGGTAAGAGCATATAAACTATTTTTTACAATGCTTTGAGTCCATTTTACCATCAATTTATATGGTTTTAAAAAAATTGGCTTTAATGTAAAGTTACCTTTTACCCTAGATAATTGAAATGTTCATGTAAAGGCTCTTAATAAATTACAGTTCTCCAAATACCTTGAACTAAATAATAATGCTATTTTTTATTGCTGTCTCTATTTTAGGGACCCACAATCAGACATGATGACAGATAGCTACTGTTTGATCCAAAGGATGAATGATTTATTATTTAGAGTGTGTTTGAGCATGATTTTGTCTTGAATATTAATTAAGAATTGTATGGTTGAATGTGATTGCATAATTTAAAAAATTAAATCCTCAATTTTATGTATTTCAAAAAAATTCAGCTAGAATGTATGTCGAGAATATCACTTTTGAAGAAATAGTCAGGATTTTTTCTTCTCTTTCAGAAAACATGATTCAACCAAAGGAAGCAAAGTCACAGTAAGAAGATGTCTTTGGATGTTTAGCCAGTGTATCACATGCCTTTTAAGTAATTAGAACTATATAATGTAATCATTTGTCAACTAATTAAATTTGAAAAGCCAGAGATGCCTGGATTAGCACTTCAGTTTTTGCTTCAGTAAAAGCACTTGTTACTCAAGTAGAAAGATATTTAAAATGAAAAATGAATGTTATGTTTAAAGGTATAGATAATGTTAACTTCTACTTTACAGTGCTTAAAAACTACGTGTTCTGTATTTTACATGTATAATTTCCATTGCTCCTTCCTATTTCTTGTTGATACTTATTTTCTTCAGAATATCTTTAAGTGAATATGTACTTCAAATTGAACAGACTATTGACTATAACGTGAATCATTTCTACTAACAAAATAATGTCAACTGGTATTTTAAAATCATAATAAATATCAATTTTATAGCTAAATATGAAGTACTAGTTATATTCAAAGCTCTGATTCTAAGAATTCATTAAGGTCCCCTCCTAGTATTACCATCTCTTTAATTTTGAAAAATTTTTCTATGAAAAATTAGTTTGAAAATGGGTCATGAATTCATAGGAATTACTGACAAAATGAAAGGTTGCTTCTATTGAAATTCATTTTATTAGGAGGGGGAGTATAGCTCTTAGGGGCTGGAGATGTAGTTCAATAACGGATCCCTTGCCTATCATATGTAAGGTCGTGGATTCAATCCCTAGCCCTGCAAGAAAAAGAAATTTACAGTACTTTGGTTTATTGTTTCTGTTTGTTTGTTTGGGGTTTTTTGTTGTTATTGTTGTTGTTAGACAGGATCTAGCTATGTAGTTTAGACTGGGCTCAAATTTGTGGCAATCCTACTGCCTCAGCCTCTCAAGTGCTGAAATTACAGGCAGGGGCCACCATATTTTGGTTTATTCTGAATATCATTGGCTGGAAAAAATTCTCCTTAATGCAATATTTTTAATGTTCATACTGTTTGAATTAAACATGTCCACCTTAGCTTTGTTGCAATTTGTATGTATTATATAAATATGACCTGTATTTTTATATCAAAGTAATATATAATAGATCAATGACAGAAGACTTCTGTTTACTTCAATTTAAAGTTACAACCAACCAGAAAAAAAGCATTGTTAAATATACTAATATAAATATAATGATATGGATCCTATTACATAGTTGAAAACGTACTTAAATTTAAAAACTAAAAAACATTGAGGAAAATATAAAATACAATTTATAATAATAATAGAAATTAATAGATCATTGGTGATAAGAAATTACTGTTGTGTCCTTGAGCCCGGTGTTCACGACTGTGACAAACTTGAGCCGGTGTGACCTCCATCCTGAGGTAGATAGACCCAGGGAGACATCATATGCAGCTAGGCAAAAATAGAAAAGCAGAGTGACTATTTGTGCTCTTGATCTCAGTAATTATTGCATTTGACTATCAAACTACTTTTTGTAAAGGAAAAATGATCATGTTCCTTTGCAGAGAAAAGCGAAGGTGGTTAATGTAGGCTGTAAGTTTCACAGATGTTTGATTTTAGCGTCTTAGGTGCCTTAGTGGAGTTGGAGGTGAGTAGGGCCAGACTTCGAAAGCGTCCATCAGTAGGGCTTGGTAACACACTCCTGAAACCCAGCACTGAAGGGGGCGAGCTCACGTCCACCAGGGCAACTTAGCCAGCTCATGGAGGGAGCTTTGCTTGGAAAAGAGGGTGACTGATCTGTGAAGCTGATGTATTTCTCACTGTAGTTTCTGTTCCACTTTCCACCTGGTGCCGCTCCATTGTCTGACAAGCAGGATTTGTCAAAAGGTCCTCTCTAGGTTGCATGAGGGAAAACTAGAAGTTTTCTGTCTCTCTTGCCTTAATCTTCTGATTCTTCACTCCAGACCCAGCCACAGAGAAAATAACTAAAGCAAATCTGCAGGCCCTAATTCTGACTAAACTTGAAAGAAGTGTATCTGTAGTTTTTCGTAATATAGTCGTATGCTTTATCAACTTTTCTAAAGTGAATGCTAAGTTATTTTTTATTCTCACTTGTGTACTTTAAGTAAATGCCTCTTTGGACAGAGACCAAGATTGGCAAGCAAACTTTATTCTTCACCAACACGAGTCTCTCTAAGTGTAGCTAAGCCGCTCTCAGAAAAGTAAGTTTAATTAATTCTGTTTTAGGGCCCATGTTTGAGCAACCTAGATCAACTTATGTGTTTAAAATATAAACCTTCTGAAAAAACAGTAGAAATTTGGGAACATTTTCTAAACTGCCCAGAGCTCTTTATTCACTAAAGAAAAACTTAGCATATGAACTCTTCAACATAAATGTGTTCCAGTGGGATATCTAATGACTAACTGTGTAGTTTAATAAGTACTAAATTAAATACATTTTGTTTCCAAGAAAAATATGAAGTAAAAATTTGAATCTTTCCTTAATTGTAACTGTATGTAAGTTAATGAAAATTGATCTTCTAGCATATAGAAATAATTTGTTTTAAATGGTTAGAGACCTTTTTGCCATATACGTTATTAATTTCTTAAATGCAAGTCAATAGTTGAAGTTGACTAAGTTGTGTTTTAGGTTAATTTAACTTTAGTTAAAGAGATTAAAATATTATTCTCTGAAATTGTGTATAAGAAAGATTTCAGAAACAGTCATGGTAGTGCACTCCTGTAATCTCAGCACTCAGAAAGTTGAGGCAGGAGGATTGTTGAAGTTCAAGACTGCCCTAAGCTACAAAGTAAACCCAAGGCCAGTCAGAAATGCATAGTGAGACCCTGTCTCAAAAAGACAAATAAAATAAAATAAAAAAGAAGAGAAGAAATAAAAGATTTCAGGGAGTAATCCAAAAGGAAATTTATACTTTATTGCTAAAATCATGATTTTATATCATGTAGACTGTGTGTGTGTGTGTGTGTGTGTGTGTGTGTGTGTGTTGTATTTGGCATGATGACCACTTCAAGTTGTAACATTCCATTTATATCCCAGCCCTTGAGTGTCTTAATCCCCTCCATGAGTGTTTCTTTAAGATTCTTAAAGGTATTTCTAATTATTAAACACCCAGAACTATACTAGGTGTATTAGCTTTTTTTTGCTGCTGAGACAGAATACCCAGGACCTACAATTTAAAGCAGGATAGGTTTAAAATGCTCACGGTTTCAGTCCATCATCAGCCAGCTCCAAACAGAGTCCATGGCTGAAGGGAATCGGAGAGCAAAGCTGCTTAGTTCATGGCAGCTGGAGGCAGAACAGGGGAGGTGGACAGAACAGAAGGGGCAGGCAAGGGGCCAGACACAGGCCCCGAGGCCAAGCCTCCCTGACCCCAGCAGACACACTTGGAAGTGAAGTGTGTTCCACCATTTCCCACGGCAGAGCCCAGCCATGCCAGTTGAAACAATACCCTAACCGTCATATTAGGTAAATTTCTTAAGTACTATATTTCAGTGATTCTTAGGTATACTTTTTTTCATATTTGACATCTCAAAGTTGATGTCATCTTGCACTTATTTGGCAGCACTTTTCTTTCTTGGTGATAGATAAAAGAATGATTAATCCTGTAATAAATGTATGATCTCCTAGAGTCAATGAAACATTGCAAGTCAGGGGGGAAAAGCACCAAAATTCTTGTTTATTTAGATTAGAAACTGGAGTTTATAAATTCTGGTAATCACTTGCATGGTGATCTGTGACATGACAGGAACATCACCATCGCAGAAACCAAATAGTGCAGTGAGTTCTTCTTACATGTCCAGTTTCTTCTTGGATGCTTTCTCACACAATTAGAAAAATCAAAGGAACAAGAGGCAATGCAGACAAAGGCTTTTGATTTAGTTGGGAATACCAAGGAAGTAAAAGCTCCACTTCCTCCCACAGTAAGGAACACGACAAAGGAGTTGATTGATTTGCTGCATTGGAACCCGAGACCGGTAACTTAAAAAAAAAAAAAAAAAGATTAAGATAAAAGAGGATATAACAAAACAGATCAGAACAGAACAATTTAAGCAACATAGTGTTTCATCACAAGACAACCCAACATAACAGTAGCTACCATAGTGTCTCTTTCCTTGAAATATTTGAGTATGCCTTCATATACTATAGTATCAAACATAACAAGACAGTGTAAAATCATTCAAGAGAATGAAAGTATTACAGGGTATTCAGAACCAACTAATAGAAAGTGAACAATAGTTTCTATATTATCTCCTTGTCCATAAAAAATTTTGTTTATATTATCACATATAATAAAATCCAATAAGATACAACATGATGAAACCGATGGAGACAGAAGAACAAAAGCCTGGTGGGACTTCAAAACGAGATAATATTAAATCAGCACTAGCTATTATAATGAGACCAGTAACTTAACTACTCATTTTTTGATTCATGTATCAACAGTGAAAAAAAGGGACCACCATAATTTTGGAAAAAAAATAATACTTTATATCTTTTTATATCTCTGCACACAAATGAGAAGTTAAATCTTTACAAAATTTTGCAAAGGAAACATTAAAAGATTCTTAAAATCTCAAAAAAGAAACATGGAGTTGCTTTTTCACAAATACAGGTGCCTGCCTCTAAAAATAGATTGCACTGTACAGGACCCCTTGTCTCAGTGTGCTGGCTGTAGGCGTGAAAGCTAAAAGAGAAAGTTAATCCATTTTTAGTTCAGTTGTTTAATGAAAAGACTATTTTCTATTATGGCCAAGGGTTAATATTAGTGTTGAACTTTCTACAAGTATAAAATTTAGCAATGGCAGGAATCTATTTCCAAATTTAAAAACCACAAAACTTCAAGACTGATTCCTTAAATAGTTTTAGTGCCATCATGCCACAATGATGAACCAAAGACATTTATATAACTGGTTTTTGTATGCTTTATGTTAAGGAACTCTGAAAAGATTCTAGGAATTTTTATATAATAACAAATGCCAGATAAAAATAGAACTTTAATCATCAATAAAAAAGTATTTATCATGCTTTCCTACAATGCTACTTTATTTTGACTATTTAGGTTTACTAGTGCTATATTATACTAAATATAGTGTGTACTCATGAACCCATATAAACCATTAACCAGAAGTATGACCCAGGAAACATTTTTTCTCACTATTTACTTTAACATTTAGGAAGGATGTCTCTTCAAAGAAGACTGAAAAGAAAGTCTCTAAAAACAATACTGAAAAGAGAATAACTTCAAGGAGTACTGAAAAGAAAGATATCTTAAATTTACAGTCTAATCTATGGTCATCTTATTTGAAAGAAAGTACAGGTAATAGCATTTGTCCTCTTGAACTAATAGTAGTTTCTAATTAAACACACTTTCTATGAACTCTGGGAATCGAAAATACTGTAGGTCTGGGAGAAATCATGGGAATCAAGAAATTTCCAACTCAGGCACTGAGTGATTCTGATATACAGCCAGATATGAAATCTACGGATGTAGATTATGTAAGATAATAATTATAGGGTATTAAGTCCTAGAATGGATTAGAAAACCTATGAAAGCATTTATATGTTCTGTTCACTTAACAATGATTGAAAGCCAGAGTTTAAACACTAATTTAGAAGCTATAAATACAATAGTTAGCAAAACAAGCAAGTCCTTATTCCTTAAGTTCATATTCTGGTGGGAGACAGGCAACTATTAAAAATAAATAACATAACATAACAACCAATGAATGGATCAGGAAAATGGGTACATTGGCTATAATAAATTAATGAAGTCTTATCATTTGCAACAACCTGGACAGAACTAGAGATCTTTATATAAAATGAAATAAGCCAAGCATGGAAAGATAAATAAAGCAGAATCTCACAAGTGGAATATAAAAAAGTTGACCTCATAAAAGTGATAGAATATAGAGAATAGCATAATGGTGATCAGAGGCTGGGGGAGTGTAGGGAAGATGAGGGGATGGGGAAAGATCAATCAATAGGTACTGAGTTATAGATAGTGTAGGAAGTTCTGCTATGCTAGTGTACTATGGCATGATTACAAATGACAATATACTAATATTTTAGTATCTGTGCTGTCTAGGGGAGCACAATGTAATAATATTTCAAAAATCTACAAGAAAGGAATTCAAATGTTTTCAACAAAGAAATGAGAAATGTTTAACCTTAAACATTCTACAATGTATACATGTATCAACAATATGATACCCATAGATATGTGCAACTTTATGTGACAGTTTAAAATAAATTTTAATGACAAAAACACAAACAGGAAAGATAACTTCAAGTTGTCATAGGTGCTACAACTAAATAGTGTCAGGGACATGACGTCTTTTGGTTTATGAATCAGGAAACTTCTCTGTGATGCCAAGTATTTGTGAATTGAGTGAGACAGTTGCTGTGACGTCACAGATGTCCTTAATTCCTTATTGTGACCTCCCTGATGACATCAGTGTGGTGAACTAGGCACGGACTGGGTGCGCATTGGAAGCAGCTTGAGCTGTGGAGACTGTAAATGAAATGGAAGCAGGTAGATGGTGATTTGAATGACTCACATGTGACACCTCTGGAAGGGGTTCCTGTCAATTTCAGGGTAGCACTTAGGCCTTAGAGTCTCATTCTTTGTCTGTGTTTTTCCTAACCTTGTCTTCTCTGGAGCTCTCCTGAATGTTCTTGTTTTCTTCTAACAGTACTGCCTTTCCATCATTTACAATAGCTCAGAGCCACACTCCCACCAACGAGGGCTTCTCTTCTAACTTCCCAGGTGCTCAAACTCTGCTAGAAAGAGATGAATGTATCACAAGTTCAGTCTGAAACTGTAAAAGTCTCTGAAAGACAAAAAACGCAGCAGTCTCAAAAGTGTTTCCCAAGGAGATAATTTTAGAAGACACATTGTGAACATTTTAAAAACTATTTTATAGTTGCATGTTTATTTTAATCTCTTATTTTAAAATAATTATAAGATACAGTTAAGAATAGGACTCTGGAGTCACACTAACTCCTGAATCTACCACTTAATTAGCTGCATGAATTTGAGCAAATATCTCTCTGAACTCTTAATTTCTTCATCAATAAATAGAAATACAAATAGTACTATCTCACTGGAGGTATTGGGAGAATTAAGTGGGTTCATATATGCAGTGCTCAGAAGAATGGTGTTGATCATTCTGATGATATTTTCATTAATTATCTGTGAGATTTATGGATGCTAATAGGATCTGGCCAAATTTAACTTTTGACTTTTTCATTGTTTATTAATTAAATTATGTATATTCTGTTTTAGGTGAAGAGGGCAAAGATGCAGTCATTGCAAAGCAGGAGAAAGTTGATGACTATTGCCTTCAAGATACTGATAAGTTGTCAGAGTCAACGAATGATGATAAAAGTTATATCATTGATGAAGACAGTAAAAATGGTACCCGAGCCCCATTAGAGTTGATGGCAGAAGTGAGGTTTTTTTTTGTACATTCTAATTTAAGACACTTAAAAATACTGAAATAACTAGATAGTATTAAACTGATTAGCAAATTAGTCTATATTATTAATTAAAGATTTAAAAATTAGTAAAATGACCCTGCCCACATGCAGATGCTTAGCTGGCTACTCATCTTTCTTACTGTTGCTAGGTACCAAATGAGAGGGGAGAGAAATTCAGCAGTTGGGAAGCAACATCCTAGTGAGGCACAGGCAAGAGTACGAAAAGTTTGGGCCTAAAATCCACCAGGGAACTGCTGAAGGGGTGTGTTCTACGTCCTGGGCACCATGCTGGTTGCTGGGAATACCGACATAAATGAGAGACTTGTTCTGTCCTTGAGAACAGCAGACAGAAATAATTGCAATAACGTGAAATGCACATTAGTAAAAAATGCAGTTATCTGGGAAGAGGAGGATTGAGTGACTGAGAAAAGACGCAGGAGAAAAAAGGGAGAATGATTTTTAGATAAAGACATAAATACTGTAGAACCTTAGAAACTTTGAAGGAAGACAGGAGTGTAAGACATTCAATGGCAAGCAAGATTTAAAAACTATAGGGGCTGGGGATATAGCTCAGCGGCACAAGTACCTGCCTGGTAAGCACAAGATTGTGAGTTCAATCCCCGGTACCTGAAAAAAAAGAAAAATTTAAAAGCTCAGTAGCTGCATAGTCTACTGATCATATTCTGTGACCACAGTCAATGAGGTATTACTAATAACAAAATACAATTATAAACTAAAACCACTTAAAAAGAAAAAAGAGATTCTTCTACATGGCATTTGAATTAAAAAGAAAAATTGAAAAGAAAAACTTTGGAAAATAATGATAAGCACAGCACTAAATATTAAAAGTTTTTAAAACAGCTTAAAGGTTTAAGAAGTTCAAAGATAGATGATGGTTAAGATTCCAGTGATCAAGAAAGGATGAAAGGAAATGCACTAAATATCAGAATCAGAAACTGTAAAAATAATAAACATAAATAGAAGAGAAAGAATAGAAGAAACAAGTTAATGATTCAAAGTAAAAGCCAAGTTAATATATCAAGAACTAGATATTTGAAAACATGCATAAACTGAGAGATATGATTAAAATGGAATAAAAGCACAAATAGGAATTAAAATGTTTAAGATTAGACAAGATAAAAATTTTGAAATGTAAGAAATTTATTATGGCCATTAACATGATTAATTATTAATATTATTAATATTAATAGTATTATTAATATTTAAAAGAGATTTTTCAATGGAATTTTTGTTTATATAAAACTCTCCAGAAGACTTTAATTTACAATAGAAAAATAATTATTTTCTAAAATTTAAGGGACAATCTGAGAGAAGTGGTAGAGAACTACCTAAAATGGTAGCTGGGTATTTAGCACACATCTGGAAAAATGTGAGAGATGTCTTCGTATTGGTTGATGCCACTGTCTTTTGCAGAATAAAACTCTCATACCTGTATGTGGTTCAGAATATGCCAAATACAAACAAGAACAACCATCAAAATAAAGGGCTTTATGGTTTGTTTGTTTTTAAAATCAGTCTGAATAGCTGATAACATGAGATTGGTTTAGGAAATTGTTGCCTGAGTAAAGATTAGAAAAGAATATTTAGTGCCGGACTGGGGATATAAACCCAGTGATAGAGTGTGTGCATGCTTAGGATTCATTCATCCCTGGCATCGTTCCTCCAAATAAAAGAATATTTAATGGCATGAAGAGAAGGTGATTAAAACATGTAGTTTATTTATTTAAAATTAATGCATAATCCTAATTTTTGTAAATATGTATGTGTTCATTTACAGGAAAAGAATTGAAAAGATCACATAAAGATGTTAAACCTTTCTCGATAGTAGAAACATAGGTGCTTTTAATTGGGGACAGAATGTATTTATTTAGTCTTAATTTCCTATATTAAAAATACATATTGCCTTGTAACAATAAAAATACAATAAAAAGCTTAAGTAAACTGGATGGTATAAAAATGATATAGATGTAATATTGAAAAATACTGAATGTACGGTTACTGTTTCAACTAGTACTGTCATGTTATCATGAACTAAGTTCATAGATGAAACCTGATGTGAACCAAAGGAATTTTAAAATATCGATGTTATCGTTACCAGTGACAGTTGAATCAGTTCTCAAGTTGTCCCGTCGTGCGTGTAGAATGTGACTTACAAAACAGGGAGGTTGGACCAATCCCCCAAGTGCATTGCCATCAGAGGTCCTGAAATATCATTGATTGACTGGTTGATTATAGACTCACTTCTAGAAAAACATGTTTAAATGTTAAAGCAAAATACAAGGGCTGGTCAAGAACTAGTACATACCTAAATAAAAAATGTATTACAGTGGGAGACACATTGCCACTAATTCCCCTCAAAACATTTCTCCTCACTTCAAACACATGTATCTCTTCATTCTTGCTGCTTTGGCAAGTAGTGCTGGAATCCTTTCATGATATCTTTACAAAGTGTGATTTAAAAATACAGTAAAGGTTGCTACCAACTGCCATCCAGTGGAAAGCAGGCTCATTAAAACATTACAGGGTGTCCTTATCCACCTTAGTCACAGGATGTGTCGCCATGATACTTTTGGCTCTTCTTCAAAGTGAAAAGGACCAGGACCATGAAAGGTAGCTGTTTGAACTGATCAGGGCATTAAGGTAGCCGTGACAGTGCAACCAATGACATGCATGAAAGAAGACCTCCAGAGCTGCTTCAGAAAGTGGCAGGAACAATGGGCTAAGTGGGTGTGAGGTAAGGGAGGTGGGTGTTTTGAAGGGAATTAATGGTAATGTCTTTTACTGTAATAAATTTTTTAAAAATATGGGCTAGGTATTTAGCTCAGTGGCACAGCCCCTACCCAGGAAGGGTAAGGTCCTGAGTTCAATTACTGGTACCCAAAATTGGTAAATAAATGAATGAATAAACAAATAAAATAAAAATTTAATATCTACCATATTTTTTAAGCATACTGCATAATTAATCATTAATGGAATATTTTTAGAACATTTATAATTGACATTTAAACTCTCTCTGAAAATACTTATATGAAATATTTTGTTTTCTAGTTCCTGAGAGCTGAAATGGGCCGAGACTACCACCTGGCAAAAAAATTATGTCAGATGAGTAAGTATAAATAGTTTGCTGACTCTTGGTTTGTTTCCAAAAATGTATGGTATGTGAGGTTGTTTGATTATCCTAAGTCTAGCGAATTTCCTTGTATTGTCTCAGTGACACCTTGACAGTACGTTACTATAAAGACTAATTTAGGTATCTGGAGTGTTCTCTAGTGAAATAAATCAATGTAGATTAGTATCAACTAGTCACCCCCATGGAAAAATAAACCAGAACACTAGCCCTCGTGGTAACAGCTCCTTAAATGCATGCTTTAGTTCCAAAGAAGCGTCAGGAGGTAAGCAGTCAAGTCCAAGCTAACGCGTGCACTTACTCCACAAAGGCCTGAGGGCCCGTGTGCCTGCCAGGCACTGTGGTAGCCACAGGAGGTGCAGCAGCCGCAGGACACACAGGCGTCTCACATGTGTGTGCCTCCGCCAGCAAATAAATGATAAATGAGTGAGGTATCATAGATCGTAGGTGCCATGAAGGAAAATAAAAACACGGAAGAAAGAATGGAGAAGATGGTCTTCACTGAAAGCCTTGCAGTGGGAGAAGCCGGCGGAAGATAGCAGAGGAAAAGTGTGTCAGGCAGGACGCACAGCAGGTGTGCTCACGTGGGAGGGTGCAGCAAGCAGCCAGCGCGGCTGGAGCTCGGGAACACGCAGAAGCGTGAAAGGGCGGAAGTCACAGGGGTCCTGGTCAGGGGTTTGTGCAGCTCCGAAGGACTTTCTCAGTTTAGAGAAGCGTTTGCATAGAGAAGAGAGGTAGTCTGCTATCTTTTTTCCTATCCTTCATTTTTAGCAGTTTGATTTACCCAAAAGCTTTGTCTTTAAACTATTGGGGAGGTTTATTTGGCTTCTTAAATCTGTGGGCTGATGTGTGTTCATCAGCTTTGAAAATTTATTGTCTTTTATTAACTTTTCAAATAACATTTCTGTCTCTGTGTCTGTGTCTCTGTTGCTGTCTCTCTGTCTCTCTCCCTTCCCCACCTCTTCCTGGGCCTCCAAGTACACATCAATTACACATCCCCCGACCCCTTGGTATCCCACATTTATATTTTTAGCTCTGTCTTCTTAAGTTACTTTGTATTTCTATGCATCCCCCGTGGGTATTTCCTGTTGACTTGTTTTGTTTGTATTATCTCTTGCTGTATCCATTTCTGTTAAAAACTACCAGTGAAGTCACAGACTATATTTTCCAGTTTCAGAATGTCCATTTAATGATTTGGAGCGATTCCAGCTCCCCCCTGACAGCCACCATCTTTTCCATCCTTCTTTTCCACTAAAATGCTCTTTTAATTATTTTAAAGAAGTAAATGATAATCCTTTCATTAAATCTTAAGGACAATATGACTTAAAAGTCATAACAGTATTGAACTAAATTCTTTGATGAAGTCCTCGAAGGAAATATAGCACAACTATTGTGAGGGCCTGCACACTGTGGATGTGTACTTAACTCTCTGCCTGACTTTTTAAGTGTGTTTCTTGAACACGTTTTACCTACTTTATATCTGAAGTAAATACTTTGCCTTGCTCAATCCTTCTAACCATTTTTTGAGTTTGTAAGCCATTAAGTAAAGTACTTTAGTGAAAACTATTTTTAGTAGCCCACAAACATAGAAGTTCCAAAAAGAATTCCCAGAGAAAGTAGCACCCAGTCCTCATGTTTATAAGGATACTCAACCAAGAAACGTAAGCAACGGCTCAGCTCTCTACACAGTGACAGCGACAGTCTAAGCCTGTTCCTCCCCTAGAGGGGTTCTGTACCCCCTCATTCCCAGTTCTATGCATTCCTTATGGAGCCTTAATTGCAGAAATGTTTTTAGATATTTCATTTCTATACCCATCAATCATTTCAGAAAGCCTCTGGCTGAAGCTTCCAAAATACATGAACTGATGCTACCACAGCGGTCAGTTTGGGCTGTTAGCCCTGCAGTAAGCTACATAAACACCAGTAAACACCAGTAAAATGCTGGCTGGCCTGACTGGAACCAGTGAACATACAGGAAATGTCAGGGCAAGGGAGATGAAAACTTCAAACTGATCTGTCTGCGTGGGGCTATTTCCTCTAAAAATGTCCTGCTTCTCTCCTCCTCTCCCTCCGTCTCTTCTGCTCTTTCCTTCTTTCCTTCCAAAAAGTACATATTGAGCCTCCCGCTCTGTCTTGGACATTGTGCTAGAAGCTAGAGAGAAGGCAGGTACCAAGACACACATTTTAAACCCACTTGGAGCCTGACCTTATTTTTTTTTTTTAAAGAGAATAAAACCCAATGAAACAAAACAGAATAAAGCCAATCAAAACAAAGCAGTGAAAGTGGTGCCGAACTTCAAAACAAGATAATAACTGTGGCTGCCATAGTTTATCTTGCTGTCTTCACAATAGTTGTCCATACCATCAGACAGCGAAATCAAATGAAACAAAAACAGTAAAACCAATCAAAACATAACTGAATAAAACTAAACAATAAATCAGAACAAAACAAGGCAGTGAGAACAATAGCGCACATTGTTATCTTCAAAATAATTGCTCAGGTTACCAGACACAGGAATAAAACAAAGCACAGTAAAATGGAACGAAATATTGGATTTCCAAAACAAGGCAGGAGGAAATCCTGCCGCGGTGCACACTGCCGTCCTCCAAGTAGATGCCCAGACCACCAGCCCCAGGCCTGCAGAGTCAGGGGAGGGGGAGCACTCTCCTGGTGTTTCAGCCCACACCGGCTGGCTCACAGGCAGGCGTGGTTTCTCTTCCTGTGAAGAGGAGCCTGCTTCACAGGAAGGCCTGGAAACGTAATTCGGATCTTACCCCATTGACTCACCCGTGTACAAGGTCGTGCTTTTCAGTGTGTGTCAGGTGATGGTGCCTCTAACGCTAAGGATTAGATTACAGGGAAAGAAGCCATGGTGGCCCCAGAGAGACACCAGGTTCCAGGGGTCCCACTGGCACAGAGCACTGCTCCTAAGGAGGAGCAAGGGCTGGTTGGTGTGCGGCAGAGAGGTCAGAGATGGGGTGTGGAGAGGAGATGAACGTCTCCCTCGGAGGCAGATTCTCAACCAAAGGTATGAAACCAGAGAGGCCCAGGTTCAAGGCCAAGGAAGAATGGAAGGTTCTTAGGGAGAAAAAGCACTCATTCTTTGCTGTTCATAAAAAAGCAAATTTGAGGGCTGGTCCAAATCCCTCTCTGTATTTAAAGCCACCTATAAAATGAATTTTTCTTATCTAGCAGGAAACCCAAACATTTATATGTAAATCATTATGGTCTAGATATTCTTGTCTGTTTTACCATCTTGTAACTCCTCCACGTAACAGTCCTTCCTGTCTGTATATACATGTATAACTACTAATGTCTATAAATATAGATTATAGAGTTCCATATTTATGCATTTATATAGGTATGTATTAAGCACCTACTATGGAAACATTCATGAGATTAGTGTTTAATTCTTAAAACAATTCTATAGTCAGACTACCCCAGAAGTCTGGGAAGCCGAGCCAGGAAGATCACAAGTTTAAGCCCAGCATGAGCAACTCAGTGATTTAGCAAGACCTTGTCTCAATAAATAAATGAAAAAAAAAAAAACAGACTGGGAGTGTAGCTCACTATAAAGTATACAGTTCAATCTACACTACTTTCCACAAAAAAAATTCTGTGAGGCAGACATCATTAACTTCACTTTACCAAGGAAGAAATTGAGAATAAGCACAAAGAACTGATTCATATAAAGTCACAAAATTACTAAGAGGTAGGATTATAATCCAGATCTAATTTAACAGCCTGTGATTTCTCTGTTTCCCCATTTGACTCACAAGCTTACTTCTCCGGTAAAAGTGGTAGAGACTTGGGCTATAAATAGCTTCATGGATCAATCAGGCTAGCAGTGGCTCCTGTGGTTACCTAGTACAGTTCTTTTCTTTGTTTTTAAGGTAATTAATTTATACAAAGTAATGCATCCTTGTGCTTCAAAAAGGCTGTACGTATTCATTTTCCTGCATAAAGTGTCTGGTTCCTGGGTAGTTACTTGTGGTCCAAATATAGGCGAGTCCTTTACATCTTCATTTGGCTGTAGAGCATCCCACCTGGCAGCCAGGCTTTTTCTGTGCTTGCCTTTTTAAAAATGTGTGTTGGGTTCCCCCAAGAAATTTCATCTGCTGGCGTAGGCTGGAGCTTTATCTGTCTTCCACACACAGTGTTTACATAGTCTCAATCTTGCCTTAGCCATTTGCTTGCTGTCTGGTGTAGAACTTACATCTTTGCTCTGTGCTGTTTCCTGCCAGGCAGCAGGGCAGCTGGGAAAATGGCTTTTAGATGGGACTGAAAGGCAAGAGTCCCAGGACTTTTTCTTATTCATCTCATGAATGACTGTGGGCTTTTTGTGCCAACCCTGCTTCCTGTCTCCTGGTCGCTTCACCTATGAGTCAAAAATTGGCAGCTCAGTCTCCTCAGGGTATCACACTTACGCTCCCAGACAACCTGAGATTCTGCCTCCGTGTGGAAAACACACTGAACCATTAGAAGACCTCAATTTTAACCATGTAAATGTCAAAAACTAATGGCTTGAAAATCAAAATGGTTCTCATCATTATAGATCTAATGCAAATACAGATATATCTTCAGAATAGGTTTCATTTTGAGTAAGCTCACACTTTCCTATTTACCTACACTATAATAGGAATTAAAAGTCTGTTTCCTAAGCTGGGCGTGGTGGCACAGGCCTGCAATCCTAGCACTGGGGGGCAGACGCAGGAGGATCTTTGCAAATTCAAGACCAGCTTTGGGCTACAAAGTGAGCTCAAGGCCAACCTGAACTGCATCGTGAGACTCTGTCTCAAAAAGACCCTCCAAAAAAGTCTGTTTCCTATTCATTTGTCTATTCATCTCTTTTGGGGGTTTCCCCTATATGGCAGGCAGTCTGCTGTTTTCAGCAATGGTGAATAACAAGCACTTTCTGCCCTAGACTTGGCCAAGTCTGAGGAACCTTAGAGCCCATAGGGAGCAGAACACCTTGCTTCCCCACCCCACCCTGTCATTGGTGCACCCACTGAAGGCTTGGGACGGAACCGAGCCACTCTCTAGTCCAGAAACCACTACAGAAAGTGTCATAATGACCAACTTTTATTCAGCATTTACCATGTGATGAAGGCTGATAATGAAAATTTTAAAACTGTGTACCAGGGAATGTTAAAGGATTTCTTAATAAGTGTTCTACCAAACTAATTTCTGTTATCAAATGAATTTTAAAAACCACATACCCCACTCTATAAAGATTTATAATAGTTTTGAGTGTATAAATGATTTTATAAAACCTTGATTATTCTTTAGTATAAGTTATTCCTAATTAACTTCATTTAACTGAATATCTAGAGTACATATTAAGAAAATAGTATCCAAGAAGGTAGTGGGAGAAATTCTTCTCTAGAGGCTCAGCATCAGAGCAAGAGTTATACTAAAGATAAGCATATTTTCATTCAAGTTAAAATGTATGAAAAGGTACTTTTATTAGAAATTTTTTACCACATGTAATGATGTATAAAATACCTGGGATTATTAACACCTGCTTCCCAAGCATGCACACAGTTGCACTAACCCAGATTGATGACTAAGTTGTTGATTATGTTAGTGGATTAGAAAATAAAGTCACCAGTTCATTGTGTCAGGATGAAAGCCATGGGCAGAGTCCTGCAATCAGTGGAGCCTTGAACCATCAATTATCTCTTACTTTAGCAAGATGAATGGCACTCTTGATGTTTCAGTGCCCCCTGGGGGTCGCCATGATATTGTGCAGTAGTCAAATTAAATCGATCCAGAAAGAATGAAAAATACACAAGACAGATAGGAAGAAGGTAGCGAGTGACTGCAGAGAGAAATTTTTTTTAAAAACTATGAAACTTTGAAATAAACTGAAGCTCTGGTCTCTAGGACGTTGGTTACATACCAAGAAGCCTAAAAAGTCCACTACAATAGTGTGATTCAAAGGAAAGGTGACAGTCACATAAAGGATCCACAGAAAGGAACAAGTAGTGCTAAAATCAGTAATTTAGTGAAGAGGGGAGAATCCTGTCAGGCAGGCAATGACTGGGGTAGAGACCAGGGTAAAAGTTCTCAGGATGAAGAGGAAGAAAGAGCATCAGTCTCCCCTGACTCTGGTCCTTTGGGCTTAGATGGCACCTAGAGTGATGTCATGTAGAGCTTGGGTGTAGGAGATGAGGGATTAGAAAGCACACGAGAGGGAACATTAGGAGAGATGTGCTTAGGAGACTTCTAGGCTTCCAGCCTCCTCATCACCAAAGTCTGCCTCAGCAGGATCTCTCCCTCTTTATATACACGGTTACTGACCTGTGCAGAAATCCGTTTCTAGGTGACAGAGCTAGCAGTCTTTAGATGGGAGGTAGAAAATATAATGAAGATAATTTCTCTTACAACGCACCAAATGTAACTGGAGCATTTTTTCTGTTTATGGTATAATTATTGATGTTCATTGTTTTGTGCATTTTCACCTGCTCTGATTGGCAGTTTCATTCTAAGGACCCTGTTTGCTGAAACACTTCGAGCATTAATAATACATTCATTTGTCCATTTTTAGTCCTCATCTATGAACCAGAAAATCCTGAGGCCAAGGAGTTTTCCTCACTTATTGAAGAATTGCTGCTGAAGGGTAATTTTAAAAATTGAAATTCCTTTCTTCTCATAGAACTATGAGCATTGGTCTTCAAAAGCCCATTACCCTAGGAAATTGTCAAAATGTGTCTTCAGAAAGTAGTTAAGAAACAGCTAAGTGACTGTCTAGTGAGACCAGTGTAGTGAGACCAGTTGTCCTTTATGGATGACAGAGATGACTATCTTCACACTAGGAATGCAACTGCCTGGGCAAAGCAGACTTCCTGGGTGACAGTCACCAGGTACCCATTAGCCCCAGGTGCTATCACCTCCGTCAGTTAACAGTGTTAGCCCTTAATTTTAGGGGCAGCCAACCCCTTCTAAATTAAGTCTCAATTTCTCTTACTCCATTGAAGAATTTCATTAATAATAGTAAAAGTGATTTTTTCTAGGCCTATGTTTTAAATTATTTCAACCGACGAATGTCATCATGCCTATAAGAGTGTCTCTTCCTTTCTACCACATTCCCCTCATGAGTTAGCAAAGCTCAGTTCAATTCTTATGTTCCTAAAACACGTATTTCTTGGTAGAGTGATAGACAAAGAGAGTTCTGATATTTTTGAAGAGTGGAAATTTTTTTAACAATTTTTTTTAAAAAGGGTGAAACTAAACAACAAAGCAGATCAGAAGCAAAACAATGTGACACAGATTTCAAAGCAAGACAACAGGAGGTCTACAGTGGCTACCATAATGTCTCTTGTTTTCTTCTAAATAGTTGTCTATATCTTCACACACAATGAATTCATACAAAACAAAAAGGTATACAACTCATCAGAACAGAGTAATGAAGCCATTACAGGCCTTCAAAACCAGACAATAGGGAAGTCAACAGTGGCTGCCATGTCTCTTGTTCTCTTCAAAATCCCTGTCCATACCTTCATGTGTGTTTAAATTAAACAATACAAAACAGACTAAAACCACAAAGAGTGGAAATGTTCAGAAGCGTTTGTCTTTCTTTCTGTGGCAGAGGAAGCTCAGAACCTGGAGGAAAACGAAGAGGATAGTGAAGAAGACAGCAGCACCGAGAGCGAGGACAGCAGTGAGGACCCGAGCGGGGAGAGCTCTGACGAGCGCAAGGACGGGCCGTGACCGTCGCTGCTGCGGTTTAAGCGTCGTGCATTTTCATTATTGTATACCATACAAATATAAAGAAGACTCTTGCTCTATCTTGGCCTGGTTGTAATTTCTTTGGAACAGAGTTCTTTTAAGTTTTCCATATTCTTAGTCTGAGCTCCTTATTTAGACCATATCTCTATGTGAATTATTCAGAGAAAAATGAAGAAATAGTATGTGACAAGTGTTGTTCAAACTGCTCTACGTGCATTAACGTATTTCCTGAAGTCACATGAAGGGAGCACTGCTGTAAGCCTCATTCAACCGAAAACTGAGGTACGAGGAGGTAAGTCGTTTGCTCGGCCTCCGGTGCCTGTTAACGTGAACAGCCCGGATTTGCACCTGGACTTTCGGTCTCCAGGACGCAGACTGTCAGTCCCCTGGGCATGACTGCCTCTATAGCGCTTGTACTGTATTCTGCATAGTGTGCATCTGTGTCTGCAATGCTGCTTTAATTACTTGTTCTTCCAGCCTTTGCTACCAGCAGAGAATGTCGCCACCTCTGTATCCCTCACGATGGGACAAGCACCTAGCAAATGATAAAGTGTGATTTATATCCTCAATGAAAAACTGGAGTGAAAGGTAAACAAAATGTTTCTGTGTTTCCATGAAACATTTACAAGGCTTTACACTTATTATCAGTCTACATTGTCTTGCTGATGCTTTATTCTTTATTAATGAACTTCTCCTACTTTCAAATTAGATTGTAAAGTAACTAAGGTAAGAATGAAAACGATCTGTTTATGAGTGTGCCAGTGTGAGTTGAAAGTAACCATTTTGACCTTTCATTCTTGTTAGCATGATATTACGACATACTTCAGATGCTTGCAGTGTGGTTTATTCTTTAGGCATTTTGTGGCCTGAAGGCATAAGCTGAAAGAAGTGAAGGTAGGAATATATGACCCTCTACATAATCTTTAATTTACAGTAAATTCTCAGAGCCCTGTGTGCAAATAACTAAAGAGTGGCAGAGGTCTGGCTGACATATCTCAGGAATGGCCTGCTTTCACTTTAATTTGAGTTGAATGTTCCTCATCACCATAGGAAACCCACCAGATGGCCATCTGATAATGCTGCTCAATTAAGGAGCCACCTCCATGCTATAAGAAGTTCCTAAAATCCTCCATAACTGACAATGAGATTTTAGTTTTCTTTTAAAGGAACAAGGTAGTTCTAAGGAAGAGGCTGGATAAAAGGCCATGTTATGGATTTAAATTCTGGAATTTATAGTTTGTCTCTCTGAGGTCATGAGTACTCTTTCCATGTTCTTTACCTGCACTCTAACCAATAGAACTTGGGGTGCTGGCCCAGCCTGATAGTAGGCATGTGTGTATAGGCAACAATAAGAGTTTTAAAACCATCTATTCAGCATTTTTAAATTAGCAGCTTTTCATGGGAGTCCTAAAAGCATGCAGTTATTCCCACCAATCATGGAAGTTGAATTTGGGATGACTGAGGTTAAATGTTGGCTTGAATGTTGGAAGTCAGATGAAGAAATAGGTAGTTGGAGGTGCTAGGTTATGTCCTAGTTTTAGAGATCAGGTGGAGCCCAGTATTGGAACTGCTTCACATGTAGTTAATCTCCAGAAACTGAGTCAGTCAACATGTCATGTCTGTGTAGACAGTTCAGTTCCAAATCTGTCCTTCAATAATGTTGTAACACATTACAGTGATATTAAAGAACCCCGCTGTCATAGGATAGGGATTAGCATGGGCCGAGTGAAGTGCTGGGGGAGACTGGGGTAGCCTTGCTCAGGTGAGCTCTTGTGCAGCAGGAGACTTCACCTGCCTTCACAGGCTCTACTACTATAAACCTGAAGTAATCCTGGCAGCCCCGCCGCCTCTACCAGGCATGGGCTTAGATCTAAGCGCATTTTAGCCAACAGAACATGAGCAAGAATTGGATGTGAACCACAAAAAGTGTGGTGCTCATGGCTGCCGACAGCCATCTGGGAACTGGAGATGACCTTATGTTGAATCATTGCTGACGACAGCAGAGCGGAACTTGATTGTGACAATATTCTCAGGGCTCAGTCACCCAATATTATTATCAAAAGACCAGAAATTTTTCTTACCATTTCAACTATTTTACTTTGAGTAATTTTTTATTACTTGCAATTGAAAGCATGTGACCTATCTACCAGAACACAGTAAGCACAATATTATCAGTAACATCCCGAGATTGTGTGAATCAAACTGGACTCTTAGTTTACCCTCAAGTGCCAAGGGTTAGTGCCCACCAAAAGCCAAGGAAGAGGAATTGGTGGATCCTACTGCCAGTCCATGTAAGTAGAAATATAAAAGTGGTCAAAGAGGTTAATCTCTGGATTGCTCAGTTGAGAAAGATAAAGAGTTCTACTTTCCATTTCAATTCATTCTCAATTTTTTGTCATAGGTATATAGCTTTTGTAACTAAACGTTTTGTTTTGTGAGTACTTTCACAATGCTGTGTGGCTTTTCACTCCAAGAACTTTCTCACCTTCCAAACTGGATCTCTGTACCATTAAATAGCTACTACTTATTCCCCCTCCTCTCCAATCATCTTTCTATGTGTCTCTATGAATCTGACTACTCTGGGTACTGTATGTAAAAACAATTCAGTAGATGCTCTTTGGTGACTGGCTTCTTTCACTGAGCGTAATGTCTTCCGGGTTCCTCCATGCGATATCAATACATCATTCCTTTCTAATGCTAAACAATATTCCACTGCACACCAGTTTGCTCGCTCATTCAGTCATTGATGGACACTGGGATTGCTTTCACAGTTAAGCTGTAGTAGCTTTGTTATGAATATAGTGTGTAAATAACTGTTCCATGGCCCAAACGCTTCAGAATTAAGCAATGTGTAGGGTAGAGAGACATCCTGGGGGAATTCATGAAAATGTTGACCATGTATTTGGGTGATAAATTCTCATGTTTCACCATTTTAAATCTAAAACTTTCTTTAATTTCTTTATTTTACCTTAGAAGAAAATATATGTTCTTTGTTTGTTTGGTTTTGGTTTTGTTGTTGTTGTTGCTACTTTTGTTTTTGGTACTGGGGATCAAACTCCTGACCTCACGTTGCCAGGCAGGCGCTTACACTGCTGAGCTAAATCCCTAGCCCTTCATATATGCATTTTTTGAAAGAAACCTAAAAAGAGAATAAAGATAAAATTGGTCTCAGGAACAAGAAAGTTAACACAGGAAAGGAAGCAAGCACAGAAAACTATTTATGAGGGCTTATAATATGTACAACATCTTAGAAGGCCTTTGTACCCTTTTGGGTGGTTAGAAGCTTTCAATGAGGATAAATAATAATTAGTAAACAAGTAGGTTAAGATCAAAAAGAAATACCATTTGAGACAAACTTGCTGATCGTTGTAGACTATTAACTATTTAATACGTTAACAAATAACTTACGCTTGTAAACAATGATAATTTTAAGAATACAATAACTGTAATCCATTACAAATGTCACCCCCCTCAAAAAAGTTCCTGCTTTCTTAGAATTTATTTATGTTACTTTTGGTTATTGGATAATTGAACAAATACATTTTTTATTTTTTTGAGACAGGGTCTCACTATGTAGTTCAGATTGCCCTTCAACTCACTATGTAGCCCAGGCTGGCCTCAAACTGGCAGCAATCCTCCTGTCTCAGCCTCCCAAGTGCTTGGGATTACAAGCATGTGTGATCATGCCCAACCTTTTGTCCTTTTTTAGTACTTCAACTACTATGACAAGGCTTTTTGTGTTTCATACCCTCAAGTCCCTAAATATATCTTTATTTCTAATAAAAATTATTCTAAATGTCTTTTCACAAAACATTATTTGAAAATGACCGTTTGTAAAAGTGCTACAAACAGTATGTTAAGAGGAAACCCTCTCCCATCATAACACACACCAAATCCAATTTCTTACTGGCATCGGACCACCACCAAAGATGGGGACAGTATTTCAATCAGTCAACAACACTGCCATCCTAAAGCCACCTTTTCTTAGCTCACAGGCCACCAATGAAAGAAAAGATGAAAATCTAAAAAACATATGCCATTAAATGAAATTAAAACACTTTGAGGGGGGATGATGGTGCATGACTGTAACCCCGGTTACTTGGGAAGCTGAGGCAGGAGGACTGCAAGATTCTGCCCAGCCTGGGAAATTTAGTAAGACTATCTCAAAATAAATTTCTTTTTCAAATGGGGATGTAAGTCAGTGGTAGAAAGCTTGCCTTGTATGTGTGAGACTGTGGGTGCAATCCCTAGCACATTAAAACAAAAACAAGCCTTTGAGAAAGCTGTCTCTAAAATTTGCCAAGTTGAGTTTTCACACAACCTGTTAAAATAATGGTTTAAACACCAACCTAACTGGCTGTTCATGTATGGACTATTTGAGGTCTCATGGGAGCTCTGATTTGTTGGGACATATTTCTTTGCGCCCTCATCTGAATTCAAACTGGGAAATAAACTGACACAAAAATCCTGTCCATACTCATTCTTCAGTTGCCAGGTGCTTCCGCCTCTGCTCAGGGATGTAGATGCCCACCTGAAGGTGTTAGGGATGCATTCCCTATTCGGGTGTTCAAAGTATGCATCAAGTGGCTTCAGTGTTCAGGGGCAATTCTGTCCTGGGACTGCAATGGTACATAACAAAAAAATAAAAATAAAATGCACTCTGTCCTCATACATCTTATAGTTTAGTGGGAAGAAAAAAAGCAATAAAGCAAAAATATATGTCAAGTGATTAGAAAAAGAGGCCTCATGGGAAAAAACAGAATTGAAAAGAATTGCAACAGTAGAGGACAGCAAGTTTATACAGAAGTGTGAAGGAAGGCCTTGCTGAAAAAAGGCAATTTGAACATTTGAGCCAAGACCAGGATGAGGAGGAACAAGCCCTGTGCATGTCTGGGGGAAAACTTTTCAAGCAGATTAGTAACGGCAAGCTTTCTGCAGTGGGAATGCACCTGAGATGTTCAACTACAGCACTTAGTTGGGGCAGAGCAAAAGGATAGGAGAGCAGACCCCACAGGGCCATGTAGGGGCTGCCAGGACTTTGGCTTTGACTCTTAGAGAAGGAATCACCACAGGGCTTAGAGGTGAAGAAAACAGTGTAAGTCTGACCTGCGAACTATTCTGTGAACGTGGAGGAGAATGGGGGATACTGTAGAAAGAGCAGAACCAGAAGTCTGCAAAACTCTAAAATAGACCCAACAGAATCTACCAATAGACTGAAAGAGAGGAACCAGCAATAGGAACCGGAGGGATGGGGTCCCTTCTAGTTGTTATTTACTCAGATGGAGAAGTATGTAATAGGAATACATACTATTACATACTATTGGGGGAAGGAGGAAATCTGGGACACTTCAATGTAATGTAATGTAATGTAATGTAATGTAATGTAATGTAATGTAATGTAAGATGTCCATTAGAAATAACGGAGAATTTAGCTGGGTATGTGACCCTGGAATGGTTGGTAAACATGTAAGTACTTGAGAGTCAATGGATCCTATAAATGCTATCTAAAGGAGTGAGACTGGATGAGATTACAGAGGGAAGGAAAGAAGGAACACAGGAAAACAGCAAAGACCCAAACAATGAATCCCGTAGAAATCTAACATTATGAGCAACTGTCAGCTCATCATAAGGCTGGCTCCCTTTCATCCCTTCTTACAGAAACTTCTCCGTGAATCAAAACTTCTCTGTGGGTTAAATGGTCTCTGGGGGGCTAGAAACATAGCTCATCAGTGTAAGTTCCTGCCTGTTAAGTGCAAGGTTGTGAGTTTGATTCCTGGTACCCAAAGAATAAGTAAAAATAGAATTTTTTGTTATTTTATATTTATTTATTTATTGTGTTTTTGAGACAGGGTCTCACTATGCAGTTCAGCTTAGGCTTACTTTTTAGCCCAGGCTGGTCTCTAACTTCCAATGATCCACAGATTGCATGGGCCTGGACCTCTGGAGTGCTCGAATTACAGAAGTATGTGCCACCATACCCAGCTTCTTTCATTATTTAAAACAAAAGCAAAGAAAAAACCTCGCAAGTAAAGAGAAGGATGACCAGTCTCATCTAGGGGATTATCAGCAGCTCTGCTGAAACCAATGGGTTGCAAAATGTTATGCTTAGCTTGGGCATGTAAAGGTAAAAAGTTAAAATAGATCAACATCACTATTGACGGGGTGGGGGCAGCAGTGAACATTAATGGAACACCGTTACCCAGGCATGGCGGAACTTGCTGGAAGCGCTTTATGACCACCAATAAGATGATCTATCGAGCTTCTATCAGTTCCCATTTCACTGAGGAGACTTGTGACAGTTAAGTAGAAGCAAGAAGTAACCCCAAGTCTTACTGACTTCAGTGTTCTTTTCCTCCAGTCAAAGCTGCCTTGAAATCTCAGAGGTCTTCAGCTTCTGCAGGAAAAAAAATCAAAAAAATGATGAAAACATATGACATATGAAAAATTTATGCCACCTATTCGAGACTAATATCTACAGTATATAAATAATGCAATAAAATTAGACCCTCTCCAAATCAAAGACCCAATCAAAAAATGGGCAAGTCAAATGTAGAGATACTTCACAGAAGTATAAATGGCCAATAGATACATGAAGAAATGCTCGTCATTGCTGGCCATTGGAGAAATGCAAATTAAAACAACTCTGAGATTCCATCTTAACCTACAAAGATTGGCAATCATCAAGGAATCAAATAATAAATGCTGGCCAAGCTGTGGGAGTCTAGGGGAGAAACTCTTTTACAACATTGATGGGAATATAAACTAGTACAATCACTACAGAAATCAGTATGGAGATTCCTCAGAAATGTAAACGTAGAAATTCCATTCAACCCAGCTATCCTCTTCTAAGTATTTCCCTGAAAGAGACAAAATCATTGTATTACAATGATATATGCATATACAAAAGCATAATTCATAATACAATAATAGCTAAATCTTGGAAGTGGCCTGTATGTCCAACGGATGAACGGATAAAGAAAATGCATATATACACAATGGATTTCTACTCACCCATAAAGGATGTATCTGAGTCATTTGTAGGAAAATGGATGTACTTTGAGACTACATTATTAAGTGAAATAAATCTGACACACAAGTTTAAATATTGCACAGTTTCTCTTCTATGAGAAACAAATTAAAAATAGAGAACAAAATAAAAGACAACAGGAAGCAGGGACATCGGTCTCTTTCAAATGGGATCAGGAGGCGGATGGGGGAGGGAGGGAGGAGAGAAAAGGGAAGGGGATGAAAGAAAGAACCAAGATGCCTTACACACATGTGCCAGCTCCACACAGGGAATGTAAACATACTAATAAGAGTTTTCAAGTAAACCATGAGATTACTCTCCAGGAGGAAGAGCCTCGGAATCTTAATAAATTGTTTCACATTTAATGAAGCCTCATCTAGTTTCATCTAATATGTTACCCCTCTTACTACACAAGACTTGGGCAGTTAAATGATTTTCCAAGGTCACACTGTTATGTGGCAGAACTAGAAAGCCTCACCAGCAGTGCACAGGGAACTGGGGTTGGTGGAAGAATTTCCTGCCTATTTTTCACCCACCGTGTACTCCTAGAAGGCCTGTCCTCTCTGCACTTAAATTTCCTCATCTGTAAAACAGAGTAGTGCAGGTGATAACAAAAATCCATTCAACAAACACCTGATGTAATTTCCATGAGATTAATTTCTTACGTTTGTAATATAAGAATAACTACTTCTCGTAGTCATGTTGCTAAACAAAAAATCCTGAAGCAGATACAGAGACAGGACTCTAACGGTTTCTATCCCCCATCACCACCACTGTTAGGCAGACTGGAACCACAGTGAGCAGTTCTAGGCAGCCCATTCCCTCTTTGCTTCCCCTTGATCTTCTTGGTATAAGAGAACATATGCATCAGCCATTGTTGCAGTATTAATGCATAGCACATCACCCCCAAACTCATGGGTTTCTGTGGCAGCTCCATTCCAGTGGTCCAGAAAATCACAAGGCCAAGCCCAACATCAAGGAGAGGGTCAGTGAGAAGACTATATTGTCCTGTTTTAGCGGGAGAAATTTCTAAGTCTCCCATGCTCGGATATTTGTCCATGTCTGTGACATCGACATAACATGCCCATAACCCAGTGAGAAAATGATTCTCATTTAATCCTCATATTTAGGGGCTGTAACTTCAGGTTATATAGCTCTAAAAAATCCTTAGCTCACTCATGGTCAAAGAAAACAGGACTTGATGTATCAACTAAGGGTAGAAAGAATGAGCTGCTGACCGTGTTGGGAAAATCCATGGTAATGATTCACTTAATATAAAAGTGGGCTCTTTCATATTAAGTTCTTTGCATATAAGGGACTGGCATGGTGTCTCTGTAATGAATCCCTCCTGGGAATGTTCCAGTTTTCTCCCCTGAGTTATCGGCCACGTTTAGGAAAGATATCTAATCTGAAATAGAAGTTTAAATTATAGATTCTCCAATCAAATCAGAACCTTCCAGAGACATCACACAAACAGTCCGAGACACCCAGGTGTGAAAATGGGGACTGAATTTTTTTTTGTTTAAAACAAAAAAGAGTCCAGGAGATTTTACACTAAAGGAAATGGAGTAAATATTACTGCCCCTTAGACTTCCATTCAGTATTATGATAAAGGAACCTTGTGTTAGAAATCTTCTTGCATCCCACTCACTCTTTGAGGAAAAGGTTGACATTGCTTTAGTTTTTGTTTACAGCAGAAAATAGAAATGCATCTTTAAAGCTCCCTGCCTGATTTGCACTCCAGTTCTGCTATCCTTGGTTTCCGGTTTTGCAATGAAACATTTCTGGCTAATACCAAAGGGTTCATATCTTCAGTCTACCTTAGGACACGGCTATGTGGGGAAAGAAATAGACACCATGCATCATCCTTTTCTGTATCTCCAAAGAAAAAGACCACCCTGCGTGTTTTAGGTCCTGTCTGGAGCATTGCACAGCGTTTAAAAACACCCCGCCTCGCGAAAAATGGCAGGAATGAGTGTAAAACGTAGACCGCGCCTACTTCCCTGAGGAACGGCTCCCTCGAGCAGCCCGTTGTTCCGAGTCAGAAACTGTAGTCTATCGCCACCTGGTGGTCGCTCTATGCTCGTGTTTGGAATAGCCACAATTGGGCGTTTTGAAATTTGCTCGGGGCGATTTACCCAAACATAAATCACCCGGTCCCCGTTGATTTATGTCATTATGGTAGAATATTTTCACTTTCCAAAGTATCAAAGAAGGACCACAGGGCAATTAGCTGGAGAATTCAGCCGTCTTCTTTAGGAAAAATGATTGCAATTTCCAGTCCTCTCTGCGTTCTGGCTAGAATTCTACTTCCCTTCCCTGCCCCCAACAGTCTTTTAACCCTTTCCGCCTCCCGGCCTCCCCCGTGGGGATGAGGATGTGGAGTCAGCGGTGGTCCTCCAAAGAATGCCCAAACTGACTCAAAAACTACCTGTAAAGTTTCCGAATGGATCTGAGCTCCTTCTTAAGGAAAGCCAAATATAAATAAGGTTAAGCAAGGCTTCCCTTAGTCTTCATATTTAAACGGTGAGCGTTGCCTTTTTTTTTTTTTTTCATAAATTAGATTCTTAAAATAGACCTTAAAGAGCAAGCTAAAATGAATCAACACGGCTGCCCCCTTCCTGGTGACTAAAGAGGCCAAGTGCGTCAAAACAGAAAAACTGACGTCTCTTATCTACTCACCTTGACAGAGCATATTGGTGGTGGGGGGACCCTTCGGAAGCTCACTTAGGTACCATTTCCCCGCCTCCAGTTCCTCCCACCCACCGCTCTTTTGGAGAAAAACAACAGCCCCAAATAGGTCTGGAGCATCTTTAAACATCCAAGGAAAAGGGCACTGTGGCCACACTGTGGGCAGAGGGTCTTGTTCCCAAGTATCAGCTGGTCGTCCTAAGGGAACGTTGTTCCTGGCAGACGGAAGGAGCTGCGGGGCGCAATCTCGCGAACCCCACTCTAGGGTGGAGGGATCAGAGGGGAAACATAACCTCCTCCTTTTCCATTTCTTTAAAGCGCTAAACCTTAGAGATCAAATGCAAACGAAACAGCTGGACAAACACAACTTCCTTCCTGGCCGACCTTCACCACCGGCTCCAACCCCTGGAGAGGATTCTTTTCTCCACCCCCATCACCTGAGGGTCTCCCCCCCCCTCCCAGTCCCTAAAGAATTAAGATTAAAAAATGAGTGACAGTCACATAAAAATATGGGTTCTAAATGTTCTAAAAAGTCAAATAACAACCACAGCTACCCCCAGTACAAATTCTTACCAAGGGAGGGGAGGAGTAGGCGAAATATTCCACCTCCTCCCGACCAGACAAAGTAAATACAGCGATTACTGCAAAGAGAGGAAGGCGGGGGTTAGCCCACCCGCCGCCAGCACCGCCCGGGTGGGAGCCAGAGAAAGGCCGGGGAGTGGGTCGCCTCGGAGGGAGCTGTCCTTGGTGCTGAAATAGTAATGCTCCGCCTCACACTGGATACACGAACTAGGTGGGTTTCCAGGCCCTCGATTCTTTTTTTCTTCTCGCTGCGCCCAAGAGACTGAGTTGGAGTGTGAGACACTTGGATATTAAAGTCATGAGTCCCTTAATCTGCTCATCTCCTTGGCTCATTGTAAAGTCAACTCCATGAGTACAAGAATAATGCAAGTTGAACGGACAATGCAAGCCCCAGCAGAGCAATGTCTGGTTCACAGTGGGTCATTAGTAAGCATCCGTTCAATTAATTAGCTACTAATATTTAAACATTTTAAAATTAAGGACGAGAAAGAGACTTTGCTCCTTCCCTCCCCATCACAAAGGAGAAAGAGATGCCCTCCAAGGTGAACGAAGTTAGTTTTAATTTGAGATATCTAATCTTGTACACGACTCTTCTTTTCCCGACGAGATTATTTTCTCGGCTAAAACGGTAAGGGTGAGCAAGTGTGCTTCCAAAGGAGGAGGTGCTTGGAAATTTCTGAATCTAATGCCACAGGTGAAGTAAATGCACCTTCCTTTTCAGAAAATTTCGGGCTTTGGAAGAAGGTCGAGGGAACAGAGCGCATTCTAGCATCGAAGTGTTTCAAGGGGCTCTGAGAGGCTGAAGGTTTAGAGGGATATTTTCTACACGGGATGGTTACCCCCCCCCATCCATACACACACTGGGCCCAGGCGCTGCCGGCTACCCTACACTCTGTGGTTCAAGATGCTTTCGTAGCCTTACATTGTTCTCAGGCTTTTATTGTCAGGTGGGGGAAAGGCGACAGCATTTTCTTTAGCATCAAAAGCAACGCTATTAATTCAAACTTCCCCAGGAGATCCCTCTTGCTAATCGGACTACTTCTTCCCTGGGTGGAGTCTTTGATTTCTCTTACAGAATCTTCAGTGACTTACAAGATTTTAGCGTCCTAGTGAAAAGCGATGATGTTCAGAGAGAAGGGATAGACCTTCCTCACGGTATCCAGTGAAGCCACAGATATGCACATAAATAATCCCCACCGTCTGCATCTCAGCTGGGGGGGGGATCACTGTGGAAATAAGTAAGGCAAACACTGATATGACGTGTCACCTAGACTCTCACGAGATCGTTTGTTTTGCCCTAAAATAACTGAAGGAGAAGCCATAAATTAGAGAAGGCAGTGGCTGAGCAAAGGCTTGAAGGAGCAGGCGAGTTGCAGAGCCTGACCAGCTTCGCCAGGTGTTGGCAGGGGCGTTAGGCCAGCGACAGGCGAGCCCGGGGAGTCTCGGTCTCTGGGCGCTTGGCGCCCTCTGGTGGGAGATTTTCCGTCAACGGTTCTTACAGTGAAGGATTTACCCAACGCAGCAATTCATTAAGTGCGTAGATATTGCAAAGGAAGAATCTTTAAAGGGCGTGAAATCGAAAGGGAATGAGCAGAGGGGCCGGGCCACCTCCTTTGGGCCGGGGTTCCCCATGCGTGTGGAGCGGCGCTCGAGCGTGTTATTAACCTTCAGACATGATCATGGGAAAGAGGGGCTCTCTGTCGTTGGTGGCACCAGGTAGCTGTACTCAGATAAGGCACTTTGGGGACGCCTCGAGCTGCGAGAGGAAACTGGAGCGAAGAGATGGAGACCCCTCCTCTTCGCCTCCTTTGCTTTTACAGCCTTCCTGGCTCACTGGGGAGCAGGAGAGGATGCCACCCAGAGCGATGTCGCTCAACGAAGCGTTGTGTGGTCGCAGATCTGGGGGAATCACGGGGAAAGGGAATGAGGTAAAGCCGCTGCTCTAGTACAAGATGCGGGGGCGGGGGGAGAAATGCTCAGCCAGGCAGAATTCTTCGTAGGAATTATCTTTTCCCTCCTTTCAACGACACCCTATTTTCTGGATTACTCATAGGACTTTTTTTTTTTTTTTCCTTTTCTGGGCGCAAACTCGTGAGCTGGATTTATAATCGCCCTATAAAGCTCCAGAGGCGGCCAGGCACCTGCAAAGGAGCCCCGCCGCTCCGCCGACGAGCTGCCCCCGCGAGCAGCGGTCTCGTGATTCCCCCGCCGAGCGGTCCCCGCCTCCCCACTCCGCTCCCCTCCCCCGGAGCCCGGCGCAGCCTCTCCGGATCTCGCTCTTCTCCTCCAGGGGCTCGCGTGCCGGACGGGGGCGGCGAGACCGAGGAAGCAGCTGGAGGTGACGCCGGGCAGATACGCCTGTGGCAGAGCGGAGCCGAGGCGAGTGGATCGGCAGGACGCTGGGCAGACGAGCGGCGGGAGCGTCCTGCTCGCGGTCGCCAAACCGAGGTGGGTACGCGCGCGACCGCCTGATTTCCCCGCGCCCAGCCTGGGCTCTTCAGCCCGCGCAGGTTGCTCAGCATTCTACACCCGGCGCCCACCACTCACCTCCTGGAGCCCAGCTTCCCGTCCGCCCCAATCCCGGCTCTCCGCTGGTGCGCAGCGCAAGGACCCTCGTCCTCCGCACGCTTCGTAGCTTGGCCGGGAGGACGCATAGTGGCTCGGGTTCATGCAGAAGTAGGACAAGATCGTTTTTCCCTTTAGGCTTCCAGGCTGTGAGCGCCCTTCTCTCCAAAAGACGCCTGGTTAGATGCAGCGGGAGGTTCAACTAAGCGCGGTAACCTGTTACTTCCCTAGGAGCCGCGGTCCGCCCTCTCCCGGGTTCCTGCGAGAGTGCGCGCGGAAGGCTCGGCTTGGAGCCCCCAGAAGGTGTGGAGCGATGGTCAGTGGGCTCCCCTCTGACGATCCTAGATCCACCAAGCTCGGCCAGCGCTCTCTGTCCCGTGGCCTGCGGACGCCATCGCGCCAGCGCCGAGCGCCTAGCAGCGGCGCTGCGCACTGATCTTTGTCCGCCACCTCCTGCGCTTTGGGCGCAAGTTCCTTGCCTCGGTGACATTCTCCTTTCTTAGCTCCCCCACTGTCCCCCGTTCTGTACAGCGAATTTACCGGGCTGGGTAGAAGCGAAACGCGGAAACTGGGATAGAATCTCGCCTTAGGCTGCGAGATGTTTCCAAAGCGGGTGGGACAAGAAGCTGCTGAGCGAGGTTCTGCCCCGCTGCTTTCCGGCTGTCGGGGAGTGCAAGGTGACTCTGGTTTTACCAGGTCACGTCCGAGGGAGAAACGTAAAGATATAAACCTTCTTCTCCTCTCACCTTGTCTCATCGAAGTCCCCGGTCCCAGAGCAGATAGCCTCCTTCTTTCCAGGGAATTAGCCAGACACAACAACGGGAACCAGACACAGATCCAGACGTGCCCTCCCCGCACCCCCTCCTGCCCGCACGCCGGCTGCCGAGAGCGCAATGGAGCTTATCGCGGCTTGGCTGGGAAATCTCGCCCTGAGCGCTCCCCGATGCCCCTAGCCCAGTCTCCCACATCTCTGCGACCTGCATTGGTCTTGGGTCCCCTTCGACTCAGAGCTGAATACTCCAGGTCCCCCCCCCCCACCTCCCCCCGCCCTACCATGCCTCCAGACTTGAGAGCCGCCCAGGGCTACGTTGCCTGCGCCGGAGTCCGGAGCGGGGCGCACGTTCCCCCCGCCCAACCGCGCACCGCGACCCAGCCGGCTCGCCGCCCTTCCTCCCCCTTCTGCCTCCCGCGCCGCGCCGCCGAGACTTCGAGCGGAGCCCCTGTGCCCCTCGCTGCTCAGCCGCCACCCGTGCAGGACCCCGGAAGCCGTCCCCACACAGCCCTCGCTTCTCTTCGCAGCCTATTCCTGCGCCGCCCGAGCAGCCGAAGACCCCGGAGAGCAGAGGCCCCGGGACAACCAGGCTGATGGCGTCTTCGACCCCTTCTTCGTCTGCAACCTCCTCCAACGCGGGAGCGGATCCCAATACCACTAACCTGCGCCCCACAAGTAGGTCTTGCTCCAGTTTCCTATCAAATGGATTGCAGGGAAGATGGGGGCGCTGGGGCTTTGGGAGGCTGCACTGCTGGAAAGGGAAAAGGGACAGCGGGGATGATGGAGGCCGGGAAACGAATGGGCCATGACCCAGGATCCTGCCAGAGGTCATTCGTCTGCTGGGGACGCTAGGTTACTCCTAGGGGACAGAAGGGCGAAGAACACGCAGGGTCCGGATGGCGGGGATGGCTAGGGCTTCGCGGCAGGGTAGGGGCGCTGTTGTTATGCTGTGTGTGATTGCTTTGCTTGGCGGGACAACAGGGGTCAGAGCCGGGGGGCCGTGAGGAACCGAGACTCCCAGAGAAAATCGAGTTTTCTGTCTCTGGCTTTCGTTGAGCTGAGATCTGACTCCCTTCTCCTTTGCCTCTGCGCTCTGCTCAAAGTCTGTAATCAGAGGAAATTTAGACGTTAATTGCAGCTTTTAGAAAACTCGGGGTCTCTAATTGCTCCAAATTTGCTTCGAGCTATTGACGCGGGAGGGAAAAGCCAGGGGCGGGAAAGGTGCGTACAAAACGGTATGAGACAGAGCCTCGACATTTCGTACAATTAATTACATCTCACAGACAAGAAGGGCGGGTGGGGGATTGGGCACTAGCCAGAGTGGGAAGAGAGGAGGAACTGGAGAGGGCAGAAAGGCTTGCCAGGGCGGGAGGAGTGAACACCCCTCTTTTTCCTCCTGGCAAGAGACCTGTCAGCAGGCGACAAGTCCCGGAGAGAAGGATAAAGGGGACCACAAAAAAGGGAGGGGGAATTTATGCCTCTCCATTCTTAGCTTTACTCCCTCCTGGACCATTTGCAGAATCTGTTTTTAATTCAGATTGATTTTTTTTTAACCTGTGTAGAGCTGTGAGGAGAAGGGAAATTTTTTCTCTTGTTAGGGCCAATTGTTCCTTCACCGGGTCCCACCTCAAATAAATGCAAACAGTAATCGCCTCAAAATTTCTGTTCAGGAGACTTGGGGAGGACAGTGTGGTTAGGAGGAGTGTTTATCGCTTTTATGGCGCTTTCTATGAACCTGACAAAGTAACTGTCCTCACTGTCACGGGGAGGGGTTATTTAGAAAGCCCCCTCTCCAGCTCTTTGCCGATAGCTCCTAGGCAGAAGGCCTTGTCTCTAGTCCTCAGGCCCCATTTCAGTTCCTTTGCGGCTCCCTAATCCAGCCACCCAGGCGGGCTACAATTATCACACAACAAAGAGG